GATCTACCTAACTTCCAAAGTGGGATCTGCCATCCTCTAATCTTGAATCAAATATATTTAATAGATCTTTTTTGTTTTTTAGTGGGAATAGGATATCTACTTGATAGGTTTACTGATGCAAGGATTAAACAGGCTGATGCATGTACAGCCTTAGTACAAAACCAGGTTCAGAGAAATTCAGCAACAAACAGAATAATAATAGGCCGGGCACGGTGGTTCATGCCAGTAATACCAGCACTTCGGGAGGCAGAGGCAGGCAGATCACCAGAGGTCAGGAGTTTGAGACCAGCCTGGCCAACATGGCAAAACCCTGTCTCTACTAAAAATAAAAAATTAGCTGGTCATGTTGGCATGGGCCTGTAATCCCAGCTACTCAGGAGGCTAAGGCAGGAGACTCACTTGAATCCAGGACGCGGAAGTTGCAGTGAGCTGAGATCGAGCCACTGCACTCCAGCCTGAGCAACAGAGCAAGACTCTGTCTCAAAAAAAAAAAAAAAAAAAAAAGTAAAAATAGGATGATAATAATAAATAGTGAGAGGTATTATTAGATCCAGCTGGCCTGGCATATGGTTGGCATATGTCTCTAATTTCTGCCACTGATGCCAGTCTCCCCTACCTTTAATTTCACTGGTCACTTTAGAGAATACGGAAATAGGAGGTTTGTTAACTGGGTCCACTGGCTCCATATTATCATTTTTCCCAGGAGTTTCTCTTTACATGTTTGGGCTGGTTTCTATAGGTATAAGAAATAAATTGATTTCCAAACATTTATCTTAATTTAATTTTATTTTTTGAGATAAAGTCTCACTCTATCGCCCAAGACGGAGTATAGTGACACCATCTTGGCTCACTGAAACTTCCGCCACCTGAGTTCAAGCAATTCTCCTGCCTCAGCCTCCCTAGTAGCTAGGATTACAGGTGTGTGTACCACGCCCATCCAGTTTTTCTATTTTTAATGGAGACAGGGTTTTGCCATGTTGGCCAGGCTGGTCTTGAACTCCTGACCTCAAGTGATCTGCCTGCCCCTGCCTCCCAAATTGCTGGGATTATAGGTGTGAGCCATCGTGCCCAGCCAAACAGTTGTTGATAGTGGCATCTTTTTAAATTTTGTAATTTAATTACTTATTATTTATTTATTTTTGGGGACAGTGTCTTACTCTGTCACCCAGGCTGGGGTACAGTGGTATGATCATAGCTCACTGCAGCCTCCGACTCCTTGGCTTAAGTGATCTTCCTGACTCAGCCTCCCCAGTAATAAGTGCATGCCACAACTCCCAACCAGTGTTTTTTCTAAAAAACTTTTATTTTCTTTTTTAATTTTTGGTAGAGATGGGGTCATGCTGTGTTGCCCAGGCTGGTTTCGAACTCCTGGGCTCAAGTGATCCTCCCACCTGGGCCTCCCAAAGTGTTGGGTTTATAGGCATGAGCCACCATGCCTGGCCAATAATGGCATCTTTACCTCAATCCTAGTTTAACAAAGAATACATTTCTCCTTTCTCTTGTATGTACATGTGAACTATTTATGATAAAAGGAGTTGACTGGGCAGGGTGGCTCATTCCTCTAATCCCAGCACTTTGGGAGGCAGAAGTGGGTGGATCACTTGAGCCCAGGTGTTCGAGACTAGCCTGGGCAACACAGCAAGAGCCCACCCCACATATCTCTATTTTTAAATTTTTTTAATTTGAAAAATTATCAATACAAAAATTAAAAGTAGTTACCTTGTTAAGAAAATGTCTTACTTCCTTTGTTTTAATCTTGTTTGTTGTTTTTACTGTTTTTAAGTTAGCTAGGGCTGTTTAATTTCATCAAATTTGGTTTCAGCATTTATTGAAATTATGTCTATTTTGCATTTTTGTTTCCTTGACCTTGTGACAGACATGATGTATAGAGATTTTCCCAGAGCTCCCCTTGGAAATGAGTAGCTAACAAACTACTTTATGTTCAAAGTAGTGGCAAAAGGATTGGACCGTGCAATAAAGAACATGAGGACACTGAGACATCTGTTCAGGGGAAAATTGAAGTTTGATTCCTCCCTTGCAACCACATAACACTTCTAAGTGGATTAGACATTAGACCTTGAGGAAACCTTAAAACTGTTTGAAGAAAATACAGAAAAATATCTTTGCAGCCCTGATTCGAGGAATCATAGTCAAGTTGTGAACTCTGTAAGTCATAAAAGAAAATACTGAGAGATTTGGTTACCTAATATTTAAAACTTCTGAACGAGGGAAGACTCCACCAAGAAAGTTAAAGACAACGGAATGCTGGGAGAAGATATTGCCAACATATATGACAGACATTACATTAATAATCAGATTATAGAAAGGAAAGCGAGGAAAATAGAAAAAAGTAATTGAAGAGGCAAATAAAGCCTAACCTCACTTATAATAAATAGTTTGTAAATAAAATAACAACTTTTATTTGGTAACTTTTTCCATCATCAAGCTGTCAAAATTTTAACTGACAAATATCCGGTGTTGGAAAATGTAGGTGACCGCTAAGTTTACACTCAGCTAACTGCAATCCAGAAGTATTTATGTAAATGGCGCCCCCTGCAGCCCAATTCCTACCGAGACCAACATATACTCCGGTTCACGTTGGAACAGCGCTGAAAGACTCCTGTCCCTCCTGTGGGCTTAGTGACAATTTGAGGAACAGTTTTTGGCCTACCTGGCAAAACATAAAATGTCCTTTGACACATGATTCCTCTTCCAGCCTTTCAGAAATACATGAACTATGTACATAAAGATATATGCAAAAGTATGTTTATTAAAGCATATTTTATATTGGAGGAAAAAAGCAATCTACATGCACATCAATAGGGACTGTTTGGACAAATAATCCTGCTTGTATCCATTCAATGGGATATTTTGTAACTCTTAAAGGAATGAAGTGGAATTATCTGTGCAACCTCCGCCTCCTGGGTTCAGGCAATTCTCCTCCCTCAGCCTCCTGAGTAGCTGGGCCTACAGACATGCGCCACCATGCCCAGCTAATTTTTTGTATTTTTAGTAGAGACGGGGTTTCACCATGTTGACCAGGATGGTCTCTATCTCTTGACCTCGTGATCCACCCTCCTCAGCCTCCCAAAGTGCTGGGATTACAGGCATGAGCCACCGCGCCCGGCCTGTTTTCTTTTTTTAAGACAAAGTTTTGCTCTGTTGCTCTGGCTGGAGTGCAGTGGTGCAATCTTGGCTCACTGACACCTCCACCTCCTGGGTTCAACCGATTCTCTTGCATCAGCCTCCTGAGTAGCTGGGACTAAGGAGTAGCTGGCGCCCAACACCACCACACTCTGCTAGTATTTTGTATTTTCAGCAGAGATGGCGTGTCATCATATTGGCCAGGCTGGTCTCAAATTCCTGACCTCAGGTGATCCACCCACCCTGGTATACCAAAGTCCTGGGATTACAGGCATGAGCCACTGCACCCAGCCAAGATTTAATGTTATGGCTGAGATAAACATGAATGAAAGCCAATCTTCAAAATATCTCTTATTTGATCTTATGTATATACATTTGCGTCTAATTATACATTAGACAGATGAGGAATGCATGGAACTGGAACAGGCACAGCCTACCAAGCCGAGGGGACTGGACCTGAATCGTTGGATGGAGGGAATTCATAACAAAAAGGCTTTAATGTTTTACTCTGTATACTTAATTACTTTATGCTCTCCCACAACAAGAATGTATTGTATATGGTTTGTTTTTCTTCTTAATCTTAAATTCAGAATATAAGGTAGCCCACTGGCTCTGAGCTACAAGAATCCTTATCGGTTTGGCAGTGCTATGACAACTTTGCACCTGGCTGAACTATCAAGGAGTGTCCTACCACCAAGCATAAGATATTCTTGGCATTCCTGAAATAAATTCTTCTTCTGAGCCAGCTCATGGGGGCATCATAATCTCCTTGAGAGCTTTTGAAAGATCTAGACCTGGAGCCGGGCCCAGGGGCTCATGCCTGTAGTCCCAGCACTTTAGGATGCTGAGGAGGGTGGATCACGACGTCAGGAGTTTGATACCAGCCTGGCCAACATAGTGAAACTCCGTCTCTACTAAAAACAGAAAAATTAGCTGGGTGTGGTGGCAGGTGCCTGTAATCCCAGCTACTCAGGAGGCACTGAGGCAAGTGAATTGCTTGAACCTGGGAGGCAGAGGTTGCAGTGAGCTGAGATTGTGGCACTGCCCGGCAGCCTGGGTGACAGAGCAAGACTCTGTCTCGATAATAATGATAATAAAATAAATAAATAATAGGTAATTTAGATTTGAGTCTGTCTCAGATTCTTGGGCTCAGAACCAGAATTTCTGTGTCCGAGGCTATCATGTCACTCTACGGGAGGAAGAACTGGATCACTGGTTAGCATGGTGACTGTTTTGGACAACACACAGCCACAGCCAAGAACACAGAAGGCAGAGGGGCAGCCTTGATCTGCAAGGGCTCCAGTTAACCCCAATGGGGACCCTTGATGGACAAGGGCATTCTCCCAGGCTTGCTGATGAAAGCGTTCTACTTACAGCCAGGCAAGGCACTCAGGGCTCTGCAGCAGAGAGGTCAGAGCTGCAGCTTTTTTGCTTTGTGTTTTCACTAAACCTTCATTTGTTGTTGCACTTTGTTGAATGGGCGTGTCCCATAGGGGAAGTTTCCACTACTGCGTTCCAAACTTTGGACTGCTTGTGGCATCTTACTTGTTGCCTCATTAATAATGAATTTAATAAAACCTTTAGAATATGCTAATTTCATCTTTACAAGAGTCACAATTTTACCTTTTTTTTTTTTTTTAAAGTACCAGTACCTTTTCACGTTGCTATCACTCCCTTACCAGAGCAGTGAGTTTCTGGGTCTCCTTCTTAGGGCCAGACACTGTTCCGTGTCATTAGAATTAATTTATCATTCGTAGGTAGACAAGCAAAAGCTTCCACACTCCCGGAGACAGGGATTCAGATCCTGTACCATCGCTGAGGGTAATGCCGAGGAAGGCACTTCTCTCCGAGCCTCAGTCTGCCCGCCTCTGAAATGGGCTCATAACGAACCCCTGACCCCAGGCTCCGCCGCCTAAAGCCAACGCCCTCACCCAATCCCTCCCCTTCCCTCCCGGGACCCCAGGAGGCGCGGGGACTCTGGAGGCGGCCCTTTCCCCGGGAGGCGCCTGGGTGGCACGGTCAGCGTCTCAGCTCCTGGGGTCTCTGGGCTCCGCGCTGCCCAAGGGGTGTAGAGGGGCCTCTGGAGGGGGTGGGTTCGCTCCAGCCAGAAAGCCCGGAGCCGCCCAGGAATGTTGGCTCGGACTAAGAGCATTTCCTCCCAGGCCGGCCGGGCGCGATCCGGGGAGGGCGGCTGCGGGCAGACGCGGCGCTGCGCTGGGCCGGGCCGGCAACATGCGGACCCTGCTTGGCGCGCTGGCCGGGCTGGCTTTGCTCCGCGCCGCGGGCGCTTTGGCTGGTGAGTGGGGCGCCGGGCGCGGAAGGGGACCCGCAGATAGCGAGGAAGGAATGGGAAAGAGAGAGACAGAGAGAGTTGGACACTACAGCGGGATGGAGAGAGAGGCAGATACAGGGAGGGAGGGATGGATGGAGAGAAAGACGGTGAGAGGAAACAGACGCAGAAAGGGCAGAGAAGCAGAGCAACGGAGAGATAAAGAAGAGAGGGAAGAATAAATCGTGAAAAGGAAAAAGGACAGGCCGAGACAGAAAGAGGCTTTGTAGATGAACAGATATGAACTAAGATAGAAAGAAAAAGGAGTTTAAGAGATCAAAGAGAAGGAAAGAGAGTGACTAAAATGGGGTGGAGGGAGAGAGGATATTGAAGCAAAGAGAAAGATTTGAGAGAGATCACAAAGGAGAGAGAGGGAAGCTCAATGACGGGAGTAGAGCTGGCAAGAGAGGAGCCAGGATCTGGGGTGGGAGGTCACAGCTGCTGCGTGGGGCAGCCCGGGAGGCCAGCTACATCTCAGAGGGCCTGCGGAGGCTCAGGCCTGGCTTTATAGGACATTGTCTAAGAAGCCAGACTCCAAAGGGTGAGTGACCCAGGCCAGCTCATACAGCCTCAAGGAGCCAGGCAAGCGGGCCCAGGAGAAAGGCCACTGCTTCACCTGCCAGGTGGCCGCAGGGGGTGTTGCAGTTGGTGAGGAAGTCAGCCTCCTGGTTTCCAGGGAGCTTCTCTGGGGGACTGAGCTGTTTTGGGTGGAGGTGGAGCCCTGGGTGGAGGTGGAGGGCTTTTCGGGAGGGAGAGGCTCTCTGGGTACTCCATTAGCTGGGTTCCTTGCCTTTTACTCTCCCTTTTCTTTCCCCCACCTCTCCCCTCAGCTTAATGTTGCCCCTTCACAGGTGAGGCTCAGGGTGACTCAAGTCAAGTGACTTACCTGACTGTAGTCTTGACTGTACACCGATGCTCATTCCACCACCCTGCCTATTGCACAGGACTCTATAGTTTACAAGCCACGACCCCATTTAGTCAGGGACGGCTATTGCTCACTTTAGTTGTCCAGGTGAGGGGTAAGCTCAGTTCTCATGGTGGTGCCAAGGCAGAGCCCTCACGAAACATCCAGGCCTCCTGCCCCCTCAGTCCTTGCCCCCACCCAGGCAGAAGTGCCCTGTGCTAAGATAGAAGCCCCCATCCCCTTTCAGGGCCCAGTGAACTGTGGGAGTGAGCACTTGGGGAAAGGATCCAGGCCAGCCCTCGTGATCCCTTACCTTGGGTGAGTCCTTTCCTTTCTCTGGGGCTATTTCTTCCTCTGTCAGTTGGGGAGAATAATACCCACTCCACAGGGCTGGCCTCAGGGATTAGATGAGGGAGGAAGTGCCCAGCAGGGAACATGCATCAGCACACATTCTCTCAGATGACTCCACTGATTTCTCTGAGCCTCAGTTTCCCCACCTGTTAAAGATAACCAGCAATGACTTTCTCACAAGCTGTATGAGGAGTGGCTGGGACTCTGCCCAGCATAGAGTAGGGCCCCAGTACACACCCTCTCATCCGCCTCTCCTTTACCCACATCCCAGCTCAGCCCCAGGCTCCAGGAGCTGAGGGCACAAAGCAGAGCCTGTGCTTCTCCCAGAGGGAGGAGGGAGTGGCCACTTTTGTAGAGAGAATTTAAACCCATTTTTAAACGTTGTTTTTCTTTCTGATTATGCACGTTCATTGCTACAGATTAAGAAGAAAAGGATTTGGGGAGGCCAAAGCAGGCAGATCACAAGGTCAGGAGTTCAAGACCATCCTGGCTAACACAGTAAAACCCCGTTTCTATGAAAAATACAAAAAAATTAGCCAGGCAAGGTGGCACATGCCTGTAGTCCCAGCTACTCTCAAGACTGAGGCAGGAGAATCGCTTGAACCCAGAGGGCAGAGGTTGCAGTGAGCAGAGATGGTGCCCCTGCACTCCAGCCTGGGTGACAGAGTGAGACTCTATCTCAAAAAAAAAAAAAAAAGAGAGAGAGAGAAGAAGAAGAAAAGGAGGAAAGTATTCATGATTAATGCAATTTCACACTGACTTCATACGTTTTTGTGCATAATCTTTCAGATTTCAGATATCTTTTTTTTTTTTGAGACGGAGTTTCACTCTTGTTATCCAGCCTGGAGTGCAATGGCGCGATCTTGGCTCACCGCAACCTCTGCCTCCTGGGTTCAGGCAATTCTCCTGCCTCAGCCTCCCGAGTAGCTGGGATTACAGGCATGCGCCACCATGCCCAGGTAATTTTTTGTATCTTTAGTAGAGACGGGGTTTCACCATGTTGACCAGGATGGTCTCGATCTCTTGACCTCGAGATCCACCCACCTCGGCCTCCCAAAGTGCTGGGATTACAGGCTTGAGCCACCGCGCCCGGCCTGAATATTTTACATGGATGCCTGCAGCCCATGATGGCTACTGCTTTCTGCTGACAACCCCATCAGACATCTGGCTTTTATTATGGAACATTTCAAACCACACCCACAACAGTAGAGAGAAAAGCCGAATGTACCCCTACATGCTCATCATCCAGCTCCAATAATTAGCAACTCTCAGCCCATCTTGTTAGCTCTAAACATGCACTCAGGCCTCTCCCCCATCCCCACCCATGCCTGGATTATTTGGAAGTAAATCCAAGACAGCATAACATTTCATCAGTAAATATTTCAGTATGGGTCTTTAGAAGACTCGCCTTAAAAAAATAACCAAGGCACCTTATCATGTCCTCCTCCCTCCCCAAATTCAGGAATAACACCAGTATCTTTTGAAGAGTCTTTTCTAAGTTTAGTGGAGGGAAATAATGAAAAGGAAAATTTGAAAAACAGATTGTTCTCCACAAAAGATGCTCAGATTAGAAGGACGTTTTGTCCCTGGTCTTGTTCTTATCCCTGAGTGGAAGAGCTGAGATCTAGATAGAGTTGGAATTAGAAAATCACAAGGCAGGGGGCCCTACTTTGATGAGTTGAAGCCAGGAGGTCAGGGTGCCTGAGGTCCAGGCATTTGCTGATGGTGTGAGCTTGGGCAAGTCACTTGGCCTCTCAGTGTTACACATCCGTCACCAGCTCTGTCCTATCTCAAGACCTGCCCCCCTTCTAGATAAGTGCAGATGGCCCCTTGGCCAACCCATCCAACACCAAGGCCTTAAGCTACAAGCATTGCACCTAGAGAGCTCAAGCTCCGTAACTCTCTCCCCACACTGAGCTTTGTATGCCCACATCCATGGCCACAGCCTTGATATTGTCACTATCTCAAGCCGCTCTACCTGTAAAAGCGAAAATGGCAACATTCTTTACCTCCTGTTCCTCCTGTGATTCCTAAGACCTCCAGTCTCTTCAGCCCCCCTCTTCTCCCAGTTTATCAGCCCTCTTCTTGGCCTCATTTCCTTCCTTATCCCAGCTGGATTCCAGGGCTCCTCTCTTAAACCCCTGGCTGGTCCAAATCTCAGCTCCTTGGCCCCTTGCCTCCACCACATCCACCCTGCAGACTCCATCCAGCCATCTGTCTTTGCTGCTGTGTGCCTAGACTGTGGAGCACTGCTGGGGGAGGACTCACACTTCCAGGATCCCTTGTTGATGCCAGCTCATTCTGCATGGTCCTCCTACCCTGCCTCCCTCATTCTGCACATCCCCTTTTGAAGCCCTCTCTTTATTCAAGTCCCTTTCCTGGTGGTGCACTGATGGACTGGCTCTCAAAAAGTTAAAAAGGTGGGTGGGGTTGGTGATTTCTGTGGTGTAAATGTTCTCATCATGACCACCATTTTTTTTTTTTCTTTTTACTTAAAAATTTTTTTTCTCTTAAGGGATGGGGTCTCAGTGTGTTGATCAGGCTGGTTTCAAACTCCTGGCCTCAAGTGATCCTCCCACTCAGCCTCCCAAAGTGCTAGGATTAAAGGCACAGGCTACCATTTCCAGCCACCATGGTCACTATTTTAACATCTGTGTTTAGTAACCTACTCATAGGATTCTTGAAATTTTAACAACTAGCAGCTCTCTTCCCTACGTGTTCTCTGTCTTACTGCACAGAGTGAACAGAGCCCATCAGGCAGGAGCTCACTCCACTTTCTGGCCCTCTAGTAAGATGGTTTACCTCTGCCCATTTGTGCTGCATTTCCTCTGTCTTCCTTCCAGATGTGTTCCCACCCCCTCTGGACCCAGGGCCTCCCATCAATTCAGGAAGAGCATTCCTTTGCTTCTCCTGTCTTCCTTTAGTCCCTCAGGCTGTAAACATCATTGTGTTTTCCAATGCTTAAAACACACACACACACACACACACACACACACACACACACACACACACACACAAAACCTTCTCTAGACCTTGTGATCCAATCTCCTTTCCTTCACGGCCAAGCTTTGTGAAATTTTCCAGAATCCAAGTTTCTATCCCCAGCCTCACCTTCCCTTCTCATCTTACCATAATCCAAACTCTGCTTTTCTTCCACCACTCCTAAAAGTGCCGGGGTGACATCTAAGAAGGGCCTTTCCCATGCTCTTTTTCCAGTCCTTATCTTGCTAGACCTCCTCACTGCTTTTGACCATGCTGACCTTTTTCATTCTCTGCAGAATCTGTAAAGCTTGGCTGCTCTTGACCTCTGGGGCAGCACCCTTCTTCTTGAGTGTCAGTGTTCTCCAAGGTTCCAGCCAACTCTGATGCCCCAAAGGCATCTCAGGGTTACCAACTCTGAAGCCTGAGCTTGGAGTCCGGGCTCTTAGACTTCTGCGGTGAGGGTTGATGGTGCCTGGAAGAGCTAACTCGAGGAGAACAATGGAATGGCAGATCCTCTGCTTATGAGTAGTGAGTTTGGACACATACTTTCACCCCTCTATGCATCAGTTTTCTTACGTGTAGATTGGGCGTAACAACAGGTTGTTGGAGAGGTTAAGTTAACACCCTACGTGGTGCATGGTAAGCGCTCATCACATGCCAGCTGTTCCTAACGGGTCCCAGTGTCAATGCTGCTATTGAAATACCTCCTCTCACTTTTATCCTCACATTCCTACCGCTACTGCCTCTGCCCATCCCTTCTCCTTCATCCCTCTTACCCTGATTGCTGCAGTAACTCCCTGCCTTCAAAGGCATCTCCCTCCAGTCTATTCCTTATATTTTAAAAATTCATGTTTGACTCTGTAACTCTTCTGTTAAAATAAACCCCCTTGGCTGGGCGTGGTGGCTCATGCCTGTGATTCCAGCACTTTGGGAGGCTGAAGCGGGAGGATCACCTGAGGTCAGAAGTTTGAGACCAGCCTGATCAACATGGTGAAACCCCATCTCTACTAAAAATACAAAAATTAGCCAGGCATGGTAGCAGGCGCTTGTAATCCCAGCTACTCGGGAGGCTGAGACAGAAGAATCACTCGAACCCGGGAGGCAGAGGTTGCAGTGAGCCCAGATTGCCCTGCAAACATGCATCAGAACTGATTTACTAAAGCCTCTGGGCTAAAGCTCTGCCCCCTTGGTTTGATTTCCAGGATTTCCCTGTCCAGTCTCTCTCCCGACCACCCTGTATCTCCAGCCACTGCAGGCTCCCTGCAGGGTTTGTACACTGAGCCATGCTCTTTCAGGCCTCTCTGTCATTGCAGTTGCCATTCTCCCCGGGTGGAGCCCGTCTTCCCTTCCTCCCTGGGCTTCACCTCCTTGAGGAAGTCCATGTGGGTCTGTAGGTGACTGATGGGATTGAGATGGCTGGCACTCACACACCGACCCCACAGGGCCTTCCTCTGCTTGCTGTTGCATTTGCTTTGGGGACCGACCTCACTTGAGCCCAGTGTTTACAGGAGTATCTGGCATGATGGCAAACCAAGGGCCCCACAGTGACAAGACTTGTTTCCCCACAGCTGCAGAACCCTTCAGCCCTCCCCAAGGAGACGCAGCTCAGAGCACAGTGTGTGACAGACACATGGCTGTGCAACGCCGTCTGGTTGTCGTGGAGGAGGTAACAGCGTGGTTTGGAAGGACATGCGGGGTCAGGACCACCTTCTAAGACTGGGTTTATTTTTGAGAGGGAGCTTTGCTTTTGTTGTCCATGCTAGAGTGCAATGGCGCCATTTCTTTTCACCACAGCCTCCTCCTCCTGGGTTCAAGAGGTCCTCCTGCCTTAGCCTCACAAGTAGCTGGAATTACAGGCATGTGCCACCACGCATAGCTGATTTTATATTTTTAGTAGAGATGAGATTTCTCCATGTTGGTCAGGCTGGTCTCAGACTCCCGACTTCAGGTGATCCACCCACCTCCTCCCCCGAAAGAGCTGGGATTACAGGGGTGAGCCACCAGGCCTGGCCTAGGATGGTGTTTTTATGGGCAGATGCAAGCTTGCTTTGGAATGTCAGACTGTACAGGCCAATCTTGCACTGTGGCTGCCTTGTCCAGCATCACCCTCCTATCTAGTCTGGCTGTCCAGCCCCCAGTGGACCCTGCTTCTCCTAAGGCCTTACTTGCTCCCATGCAGATAGATATTTCAGCATCAGTGCTGGATGGGAAGGTAGAAATTCAGTCACTATTTTGTTATTTAGCCATGATTCCTAACTTGTGGGGAAAAAAGCTTGCATTTGTATTGTTGCAAGCCTTTAACTGAAATTGAGCATTCCCGTTCCTCATAAATACAGACAGCAAGCAGTGGTATTAACAGTACTATAGCTTGGTCATCAAGAGAAATCCAGATCATTTCACCTTGTTCTAGTTATGAATATCTCAACACATTATTTATAACCTTCCTATGTCAACTTTTCTGTTGTTGTTAGGCCTGATGTTAAATCATGTGACTTAATAAATACATTTTTTTTTTTGAAGCATTGTCTCCCTGTTACCCAGGATGGAGTACAGTGGTGCAGTCTCACCTCACTGCAACTTCCACCTCCCAGGCTCAAGTAATCCTCCCACCTCAGCATCCCAAGTAGCTGAGACTACAGGTGCATGTACCACCATGCCTGGCCAATTTTTGTATTTCTTTTTTTTTTTTTTTTGGAGAAGTGAGGTTTTGCTATGTTTCCCAGGCTGGTCTTGAACTCCTGAGCTCAAGCCATCCACCCACCTCAGCCTCCCAAAGTACTGGGATTACAAGCATGAGTCACTATGGCTGGTCAATATGTATGTTATATCCAAAAGTTTAAATTTTTATTTTACAGAGTCCTGCTCTGTTACCCAGGTGGAATTCATGGTTCAATCTCAGCTCACTGCAACCTCTGCCCCAGGGTTCCTGTGATTCTCATGCCTCAACCTCCCGAGTAGCTGGGACTACAGACATGCACCACCATGCCTGGCTAATTTTTTGTATTTTTGGTAGACATGGGGCTTCTCCATGTTGGCCAGACTGGTCTCAAACTCCTGACCTCAAGTGATCTGCCCACCTTGGCCTCCCAAAATGCTGGGATTACAGGTGTGAGCCACTGTGCTGGGCCAAAAAGTTTAATTTTTAATAATGAATAATATTTTAATGCAATCGATGCCCCTGGTAATTCCATATGCTTTATTTTTTGCATTTAAGGCATTATTCTGAGAAGAGGTCTGTAGGCTTCATCACACTGCCAGTGGGGTCCATGGCATACACAGGGGAAAAAAATAACTATTGAGAACCCTGAGTAAATTTCAAAATCCCAAATCTGTCATTCAGCAGAGACACCACCAGGGAGCAGAGCAACAAAAGAAATGTGAGCGCCAGGCTGCAAAGTCCCAAAAGGGAGAAGGTATTCTAAAGGCGTTTCACCCCAACCTGTGACTGAGTGCCAAAAAGGAAGGAGCCTTAGAGAGCGAGCCCGCTAGGATATTGTCATCTGGGGAAACTGAGGCAGGTAGGGGCAGAGCCTGAGTGAGGAAAATCAGTTCCCGCAGCGCCCAGTCCTTTCCCACTGCACCCCGCTGAACCGCTAGCTGCTCCTTAGGGCCTAGCTGATGAAGCGGAGTGCGGCACCACTCCTGTCCTCGACTTTACCCCCTTCCCACAATAGATTGTAGAGAAGACCGTGGAGCACCTGGCGACAGAGGTGAAAGGCCTGCTGGGCCTGCTGGAGGAGCTGGCCTGGAACTTGCCCCCAGGACCCTTCAGCCCGGCCCCCGACCTCCTCGGAGAAGGTAAGCACTGCAGGTGGCAGAGGAAAGCCTCTGAACTGCTGTCATCTGGGGCTGGACAGAGGCGGGGGGGGGGGGGGCTGCTCCACCGCACAGGTGTAGGCTGGACAGCAGGGAGGGCCCCAGCGCCCCCGGGGACAGAAGCGGGACGGCATCACCCCTCCTCACCAACCCACACCCGGTCGCTGCCGCCCAGTGTCAAGACGAAATTCGGGAAGAGCCGGCCCTAGATACCATCTCCGCACACCCCAGCGATGAGAAGCTGCCTCCTTCACTGGCCTTCTCCGGACTAAAGCTCCTCAGCTCCTTTCATTTGCCCCTTAGAAACCCCTCCTGTTCCACCCCAAAACCCTCAGGGAAGACGGCACCCCACTGATCAGGAAGGGACGGAGTTGCACTTTGCTCTCTTCTTGATCCCGGTGTCCCGGAGGGCTGAGGAGAGAGGGAAGAAACTGTTGGGCAGCACAGGCCGGGGGACCCTGCAGCACCCCAGCTTGCTCACCGGAGGCCGCCGCTTTCTTTCAGATGGCTTCTGAGCCCCGGAGCTGGAGCCCAGCAGCTGGAGGTGGTGCCCTTGCCAGGCAGCACCCTCTGAGAGCCAGCCCTGTCCGCTCGCCTTCCTTCCGCAGCTTCGTGTGCAATAAAAGCTCCTCCTTCTGTCTCCTCTGTCTGCTGACAGAGTAACCCGTTTAACTACAGCCCCCTCTCCCTCCACTTCCATGCCTGGAGGAGGCCTACAACCCCCCCCCAGGCTCAGACCTGGGGACACCCCCATTCCCGCCATCTGTGCTTTAGTCCTCCTTAATTACAGGAGCAGATGAGCAGGGGTTGATTCACAGAGGTGGGGGCTCTTCGAGTGGCCTTGCGTCTAAAAATGTGGCCATAGGTGAAAAGCAAGGGGATCAGGGTCTCAGGCCCCACCCAGACTTCTTAATCCAAATCTCCATTGCAATGAGACCCCCAGGGAATTTATGTGTACATTAAAGTGGTTTGTTGTTTTTTTAAAAAAAATTCCTATGAAGTGAAATTCAATGTAAAATTCATCATTTTAACCATTTTAAATTGTACAAGGCTGGGGGAAGTGGTTTACACCTATAATCCTAGCACTTTGGGAGGCCAAGGTGGGAGGTTCACTTGAGCCCAGGATTAGGAGGCCATCCTGGGCAACATGGTGAAACCCTATCCCTGCAAAAAATACAAAAAATAGCCTGGCATGGTGGCATGTGCCTGTAGTCCCAGCTACTCAGGAGGCTGGGGTGGAAGGATCACCTGAGCCCAGGAGGTCAAGGCTGTGGTGAGCCATCATGGTGCCACTGCACTTCAGCCTGGGTGACAGAGTGACACCTTGTCTCAAAAAGAAAAAATCATACAAATGCAGTGTCTTCCGGTACATTCACAAGTTGTCAGTCATTACCACCAGTTTCAGAATACTGTTCAAACTCTAGAAAGAAACTCTGTACCTGTTATGCAGTCACATCCCATTCCCGATCCCCCAACCCCCTGGAAACCACCGATCTCTGTCGCCATGAACTTGCCTATTCTGGACATTTTAAATGCAGTAGCCCGCTTTATCTGTGGTTTCACTTTCCATGGTTTCAGTTACCTGCAGTCAACCACAATCCTAAAATACTAAACTCCAGAAATAAACAACATATGAGTTTTCAGTTGTGCATCATTCTAAGTGGCGTGATGAAACCTCTCACCTTTCCCCTTTGTCCCACCCCGGACATGAACGCTTCCTTTATCCACCATGGTCCACGCTGTCTACACTTCCTGCCTGTTAGTCACTTAGCAGCCTTCTCAGTTACAGATCAACCGCCACAGTATCACAGGGCTTGTGTTCCAGCAACATTTCTTTTACTTAATCAAGACCCAAAGTTCAAGAGCAGTATTGCTGGCATATGGTGGTGGTTTTCCATGCAACTTTCCCGTCACAGAAACTGGCATATTGTTCTAATTGTTCTATTTTGTTCTTAGCTATCGTTGCTAACCTCTTACAGTGCCTGATTTATAAATTAAACTTTATCGTAGATATGCATGCAAAGGAAAAAACATAGTATGATAGGATTAGATATATTGTGGTTTCAGGCATCCACTAGAGGTGTTGAAATGTATCCCCTGAAGGTAAGGGGGTACTACTGTAAATAGAATCATACGATACGTACCCTCACTGTATCTGGCTTCTTTCTCTGATCATGTTTTCAAGGGCTGTCCGTATTGCAGCATGTATCAGTGCTTCATTCTTCTTATGGATGAATAATGTTCTCTTGTATGAATATACCACATTTTATTCATTTATTCATCAACTGATGGACATTTGGGTTGTCTGTACTTTTTGGCTATTATGAATAATGTTGCGATGAACATCCATATACGAGTTTTTGTGTCAATATTTGCTTTTTTATTTGTTTGGGGTCTATACGAGAAAGAAATTGCTGAGTCATATGGTAACTCTTACGTTTAATTTTTTGAAGAACCACCAAGCTCTTGTATTGCAGCTGTGCTGTTCTATATTCCCACCAGCAATATTCACTGTGGGTTTTTCCTGATGCCCTCTAGCAGGTTGAGACATTTTCCTTCTATTCTTAGTTTGTTAAGTGTTATTTTTCTGCATCAATTGAGATGATCATGTGAAATTTCTCCCCTTTCACTTTATTAATTATATGCATTAAAGTGGTTTTTTGTTTTTTGGTTTTTTTTGAGACGGTCTTGCTCTGTTGCCCAGGCTGGAGTCCAGTGGTACAATCTCGGCTCATTGCAACCTCCATCTTTGGGTTCAAGCAATTCTCCTGCCTCAGCCTCCCGAATAGCTGGGATTACAGGGTACCCACCACCACACCCGGCTAATTTTTATATTTCTAGTAGAGACAGGGTTTTGCCATGTTGGCCAGGCTGGCCTTGAACATCTGACCTCAGGTGATCCACCCGCCTCTGCCTCCCAAAGTGCCATCACAGGGTTGAGCCACCGTGCCAGACCTGATTTTTGTGTATTAAATGACGCATGCATTCCTGGGATAACTTTCACTTGGTCATGGTATATGATGCTTTTAATATGCTGCTGGATTTGGTCTGCTATCATGTTGTTCGGGATTTTTGCACCTATATTCATAAGACTTATAGGTCTGTAGGGTTTTTTCCCTTGTAATATCTCTGTTTGCCTTTGGTACCAGGATAATACTGGTCTCGTAGAATAAGTTAGGAAGTGTTTCCTCCTTTGCTTGCTTATTTATTTATTTAGGTAAGAGTTTGAGAAGGGTTGGTGTTACTTCCTTAAATGTTTGCTACAATTTACCAGTGAAGGCCCTGGCCTTTTCTTTGTTGGTAGGTTTTTGATCACAGATTTAATCTTTTTACTTATGATAGATCTATTCAGATTTTTTATTTTTCCTTGAGTCAACTTTGGTAATTTGTGAGTTTCTAGGAATTTGTCTATTTTATCCAGATTATCTAATATGTTGGTATACAATTGTTCATAGTATTTTTTGTAATCCTTTAGTTTTTCTTCTTAAGGTTTTTAGTGATGACTCCGCTTTCATTTCTGATTTTAGTAATCGAGTCTTGAGTCTTTTATCTCATTCATTCACTGTCTCTCTCTGTGTGAGACAGAGTCTAGCTGAAGGTTTGCCAATTTTGTTGATCGTTTCAAAGAACCATTTTTGTTGTTGTTGTTCCATTGATTCTATTGCTTTTCTATTCTCCATTTTATTTATCTGCACTCCAACCTTTATTATTTCTTTCCCTCTGGTTGCTTTTGGTTTAGCTTGCTCTTTGTTTTCTAATTCCATAATATAGAAGGCTAGATTGTCTATTTCCCTTTTTTTTTCTTTTTTTATACAGACTCTTTCTTTGTTACCCAGGCTGGAGTACAGTGGCATGATCCCAGCTCACTGCAACCTCCACCTCCCTGGCTCAAACAATCCTTCCACCTCAGCCTCCCAAGTAGCTGGGACAAGAGGGGGGCTGCCACCATGCCTGGATACTTTTTGTATTTGTCGTAGAGACTGGGTTTCATCATGTTGCCCAGGCTTCTTTTGGTTGTTTTTAAATGTACAATTAAATTACTAGAGTCACCCTGTTTTCTTACTCATTCTTTTTGACTAATGTTTTTGTACCTATTAACCATGCTCGCCTCTCCCCAACCTGCCCCTGCCCATTACCCTTAGTAGCCTCTGGTGACAATCTTTCTGCTCTCTATGTCCATTAGGTCAATTGTTTTGATTTTTTTAGATCCCAAAAATAAGTGAGAACACATGATGTTGTCTTTCTGTGCCTGGCTTATTTCATTTAACTTAATGGCCTCCAGTTCTATCCATGTTGTTGTAAATGACAGAATCTCATCCTTTTTTATGGCTGAATAGTACTCCATTGGATATAGGTATTGCATTTGCTTCATCCATTCATCTGTTGATGGACACTTAGGCTGCTTCCAAATCTTAGCTATTGTGAACAGTGCTGCAACAAACATGGGAGTGCAGATATTTCTCTGATAGACTAATTTGCTTTCTCTTGGGTACATACCCAGCAGTGGGATTCCTGGATCATATGGTAGTTCTACTTTTATCCACTGAATTCTATCAAATGCTTTTTCAGCATTACTTGAAATGATCAAATGATTTTTGTCATTCATTCCGTTGATATGATGTATCACATTGATTGGTTTACACACGTTGAACCATCCTTTCATCCCAGGAATAAATCTACTTGGTTATAATAAATGATCTTTTTAACTCATTTATTATGAGTTAATTCATGTTTATGAGCTGAATTCAGTTTGCAAGCATTTTGTTGAAGATTTTTGCATGAATATTCATAAGGGATATTGGTCTATAGTTTTCTTTCTTTCTTTCTTTCTTTTTTTTTTGATGAGTCTTTGTCTGTTTTTGTTACCAGGGTAATACTGGCCTTGTAGAATGAGTTTGGAAATACTCCCTCCTCCTCTATTTTCAGAAGAGTTTGAGTAGGATTGGTATTAGTTCTTTAAATGTTTGGAAGGATTCAGCAGTGAAGTCATGGGGTTCTGGGGTTTTCTTTACTGGGAGACTTTTTATTACAGCTTCAATCTTGTTGCTTGTTATTGGTCTGTTCAGGTTTTGGGCTTCTTCATGGTTCAGTCTTGGTTAGTTGTAGGAGTCCAGGAATTTATTCATTTCTTCTACATTTTCCCATTTATTGACATAGTTCCTCATAGTAGCCACGAACGATCCTTTGATTTTCTGTAGCATCAGTTGTAATGTCTCCTTTTTCACCTCTGACTTTATTTCTTTGGGCCTTCTCTCTTGTTTTCTTAGTCAGTCTGGCTAAAGGTTTATCAGTTTTGTCTAACCTCAGAAAACCAACTTTTTGTTTCATTGATCTTTTGTATTGTTTTCTTCATTTCAATTTCACTTATTTCTGCTCTGACTCTTTCTTTCTTTCTTTCTCTCACTTTTCTTTCTTTCTTTCTTTCTTTCTTTCTTTCTTTCTTTCTTTCTTTCTTTCTTCTTTCTTCTTCCTTTTTTTGAGACAGAGTTTTGCTCTTGCTGCTTAGGCTGAAAGCACAATGGTGCAATCTTGGCTCACTGCAACTTCTGCCTCCCAGGTTCAAGCGAGTCTCCTGCCTCAGCCTCCTGAGTAGCTGGAATTACAGGTGCCTGCCACCACGCCCAGCTAATTTTTTTGTATTTTTAGTAGAGATGGTGTTTCACGATGTTGGCCAGGCTGGTCTCAAACACCTGACCTCAGGTGATCCACCTGCCTCAGCCTCCCAAAGTGCTGGGATTACAGATGTGAGCCACTGCACCTGGCTGTACTATTTCTCTTCTACTAATTTTGGGTTTGATTTCCTTTTGCTTTTCTAGATGCATCACTAGATTGTTAACTTGAAGTTTTCCCTCTTTTTGATGTAGGTACTTACAGCTACAAACTTCTCTTAGCACTGCTTTTGCTGTATGCCATAGGTTTTGGTATGTTGTGCTTTCCTCATCATTTGTTTCAAGAAATTTTTCAATTTCCTTCTTAATTTCTTCATTGACCATTGGTCATTCAGGAACATATTATTTAATTTCCATGTACTTGTATAGTCCAAAATTTTTTCTGTTATTAATTTCTAGTTTTATTCCATTGTGATCAGAGAAGATGCTTGATATTATTCCAATTTTTTAAATGTTTTAAGACTTGTTTTGTGACCTAATATATGACATGTCCTTGAGAGTGATCCATGTACTGAAGAAATGGTGTGTATTCTGTAGCCATTGGATGAAATGTTCTACAAATATCTATTAGATCCATTTGGTTTATAATGCATATTAAGTCTGATGTTTCTTTGTTGAATTTCTGTCTGGATTATCTGTCCAATGCTGAAAGTGAAGTGTTGGAGTCTCCAGCTATTATTGCATTGAGGCCTGTCTCTTTAACTCTAATAATATTTGCTTTATCTATCTTGGTACTTTGCTTTGGGTGCATATATATTTAAAATTATTTTATCCTCTGGGTAAATTGACCCATTTATCATTATCTAGTGACCTCATCTATTATAGTTTTTGTTTTAAGTCTATTTTGTCTGATATAAGTATAGCTAGCTACTCCTGCTTTTTAGTTTCCATTGGCATGGAATATCTTTTTTTTTTTTTTTTTTTTTTTTGAGATGGACTCTTGCTCTATCTCCCAGGCTGGAGTGCAGTGGCATGATCTCTGCTCACTGCAAACTCCATCTCCTGGGTTCAAGTGATTCTCCTGCCTCCTGCCAAGTAGCTGGGATTACAGGTGCCTATGACCATGCCTGGCTAATTTTTTTTTGTGTGTGTGTGTATTTTTAGTACCGTTGTTGGCCAGGCTGGTCTCAAATTCCTGAAATAAAGTTATCTGCCCGCCTTGGCCTCCGAAAGTGCTGGGATTATAGCATGGAATATCTTTTTCCATTCCTTTATTTTCAGTCTGTGTGTGTGTTTATAGGTGAAATCTGTTTCTTGTAGGCAACAGATCAATGGGTCTTGGTTTTTAATATTAAATTTAGCCACTCTATTTCTTTTGATTGGAAAGTTTAGTCCATTTACATTCAATGTTATTATTGATAAGTACTAACGTGCTCCTGCCATTTTGTCATTTGCATTCTGGTTGTTTTGTTGTCTTCTCTTCCTTCTTTCTTTCCTTCCTGTCTTCCTTTAGTAAAGGTGACTTTTCTCTGGCGATATGATTTAGTTTCTTGCTCTTTACTTTTTGTGTATCCATTATGTGTGTGTGTTTTTTTTTTAGTGTGAGGTTACCCAGAGGCTTGCAAATGCTGTCTTATAACCCATTATTGAAACCTGGTAACAACCTAAGACTGCATAAAGACACAAACAAGCAAAAAGAAAACGAATATTCTGTGCCTTAACTTCATCCCCCTGCTTTTTAACTTTGTTGTTTTTATTTATGTCTTATTGTCCTGTCTTAAAAAGTTATTGTAGTTATTATTTTTGATTGGTTCATCATTTAGTCTTTCTACTCAAGATAAGAGTAGTTTACACACCACAGTTACAGTTTTATAATATTCCATGTACTTACTATAATATTCTGTGTACTTACTATTACCAGTGGGTTTTGTACCTTCAGATGATTCCTTATTGTTCATTAATGTTATTTGGTTTCTGATTAAAGTAGCCCCTTTAGATTTTTTGGGGGCGTAGGGGACAGAGTCTCACTCTGTCACCAGGCGCCAGGCTGGAATGCATGCAGTCCGCCTCCCGGGTTCAAGCAATTCTCCTGCCCCAGCTTCCTGAGTAGCTGGGACTATAGGTGCACACCACCACACCCAGCTAATTTTTTTGTATTTTTAGTAGAGGCGGGGTTTCACCATGTTGGCCAGGATGGTCTCGATCTCTTGACCTCATGATCCACCCACCTCGGCCTCCCAAAGTGGTTTTTTTTTTTTGAGATAGGGTCTCACTTTGTCTCTCAGACTGGAGTGCAGTGGTGTGATCTCAGCTCACTGCAGCCTGAACCTCCTGCGTTCAAGCAATCCTACTGCCTCAGTCCCCCAAGTATGTGGGACTACAGGTGCATATTACCACACCCAACTAATTTTTTTATTTTTATTTTTATAGACATGGGGATTTGCCATGTTGCTTAGGCTGCTCTCAAACTCTTGAGCTCAAGCGATCTGCCCACCTTGGCCTCCCGAAGTGCTAGGATTACAGGTGTGAGTCGCCATACCTGGCCCCCTTTAGCATTTCTTGTAGGACAGGTCTGGTATTGGTGATGAAATCCCTCAGCTTTTGTCTGGGAAAGTCTTTGTTTGTCCTTCATGTCTGAAGGATATTTTTGCCAGATATACT